TGTAAGCCATAATCATCACAATTACGACAAATCACGGCTTGAACTATCTTGCTTTGCATGTAATGAGTCTATTTCATATATTAGTTTCCCCTTTTAAGTTGCATTGCTGAAATAAAGGAACTTTTGCACGATATTCTAATTTTTCAAGTTTCACCTGTACTCTGAAAAATACGGTAAGTATACTCTTGGCAACCAAAGAGTTCACTCAACCATTGAAGATTCCCCCCTCCTCCCTAGTCCCTGCAGCTTAAAATCAACATGGTCTATGTAACAGAGCAATTCATGAAATTCTGGCACTGCAGGAAATGTCTGCAAGGACACATGCCGATCCAGTAGGGATCTGCGTCAGAATTTACTCAAAATTATTTAACAAGAAAGGAACAAAGAAAGGCTGCTCCCCTCCCCAGCAGTGAAAATAAAGAGAAGTGGATGGAGAATGCAAGCCAGAGAAATCCCCATAGGTCTACGGTAAAAGAGGATTCATTGGAAGATAGTGCACGGACTGAAGGAAGGAATTGTTTTTCATGGGATATAAATCTTCTAGCTTGAAGAGGGAGAGCTATATCTTTCTTGCTTGGTCACTTATTAAGTTCTGCAATTACACATGGGAAGACACAGAGAATTAAGGGGAACTAGAAGCTTTCTGGAAAACCTCCCATCAGGTGAAAAGATCTTCCCTTACCTAGTGAGGCAACCTGATGTTAACTTTTATTCTCATGGATCATTAAATAAATTTGCCCAATCCAACCAATTAGTCTCCCAGAACCTGAAATATAAGCAAAGAAAAGGAATTAAGAAGGCAGGACAGAAGATCATCTGGATGTTCATTTTCTGCCCACAAAACCCTTGTGTCCATCAATGGGGATAGCTGAGACCAAAGGGAGAATTGCTCCAAATGATATATCCTCTTAAGACAGGGGTCACTAACCTTTCGGACCTCAGGGACCACGACATTCATAATTTTAAATCCCGCAACCACTAATATGAATTTTTTAAAAAGATAAGCAGTATCTAGTGCAATATAAGAAAACGCAAATAATTTTTCTGCGGACCATCAAAATTTTCTCGTGGAATTGGTGAGAAAACACAGGAACAATTTTGCTAATAAGGTTTTCTAAACATCTGCCTGCATTATTATTCTTCAAAACTCTGGGAGATATTTAAGAAATTAAAGAATTCAAGATATTAAGGATCCCTCCGCATTTCTCATGTGGAGCATCTCTGACCTGGCCAGGGCCCTTCCTTCTTCTCCTTTGCCAGGATCAGCAGGAATCTGCTGACACCACCGGGCAACTGGTCTCCCCTGGCTCTCCAAAGATCCTTCCAGTCTTGGAATCTGAACCTGAAGGAGATGTGATCCAGTGAGTCCTTGAAGCTTCCTCTCCGCTTCCCCCTCAATTTTCTCCGCCTCCCCCAGTGTTGGATCTCCTCCATGCACAGCCAAGAGCAGTTATGAAGGGGGGGCGGGATTTCCAGCTCCCTCCAACTCTTGGGATTCAGAATCTAGTTCCCTTCCCTGGGGAGGATCTGGGTCGCGGGACACCACCAACCAGCCCGCCCGCCCGCACAGATTCCCAGGGAGCAACTCACAGGCTGTCCCAGCACACCAGGCAGACAAAGTGGAGCATGCGCAGTAGCTTACTGTCAGTCGATAGCGAAGAGTGCGCCCTCTGCTGTAATTAGGGAGCAGCGTCTGGACTTGGGAAATCGCCGCCATGGGGAGGGAACCTTAGAGGTCATCCAGGCCGGCTTCTGTTCGGGGTGGCATGTGTGATCGAGCTCGCCCTCTGCCGAACGGCATCGGGTAGAAGGTACGCTGAGATCACAGTGCTCCCTGTGCAGACAGTCACCCCGAGGAGGGGACACCAGTTCCGTCCTTTAGGGAGCCCATGGATGACGGGAGGGGGAGCGGGACAGGGACAGGAGCAAAGGGAGGGGAAAGCTCTCCGGGTCACGTGAGCCTGACGAGCCAATGGCGGGCGACAAGCGCCTGACAGGTTTGGGCGGGAAAAGGGAGTCGCCACTTTTCGGTTGGGAGCTAATCTTCCTTCTTGCTCTGAGGAAAGATATTATCTCTCCCTCTCACATACACACACACCGAAAATGTATATGTAATAGTACAGGTAGTCATACACTTTCTCTCACACACAGAATACAAAAATGTATATATACTAGTACAAGTAGTCACACACACACACACACACACACACACANTCCTCCTAGTGCAGCATCCTTTTTCCTTTACCTGTCCTAACCAAAAGACCTATCAATTGTGGAGCCAAGTGGAAAACCCGCCCCTTGCTAGTATTGTCCTCCTGGCGCACCCTGCTTCCTCCCCCCCCCCAACTGGAAGCTCCTCTCAAAACTGTGGCACCAACTGGTGGCAAGGAGCCAGAGCAGAGGGATGAAAGAGCCACATGCGGCTCCAGAGCCGCAGTTTGCCAACCTCTGAACTACAACCATTTTTTGTTTATGATCAAGATATACCGCTTGGAAAGGAGGACATAACAAGAAATAGCTTGAACACCTTTTTTTAATGCTCATTAGGAACACTATTGGATCACTAAAACAATTATTAAAGACGCAACAGTTGCAATCATAAACTCACTGACTGCTTTTCTGTTTTCAATGGGATTAATGAGATTTTGCACCAGAGAAATACTCAACTAAGCAGATATGTACATGTAAACATTTGGAAGATTTTTCTCAGATACGTTATGCAAATCAGATTATATAAAAAAGCAACCCACAGCTTAAATACTTTACTAGTGTTTAAATTCCAATATTTTCAATACAATTAAGAGCTAAAATGTTTACCCAGTTTAATTTACATATACCACTTCTCTACAAAACCTGGGAGCCTGATCCCAAACTCATTTCACAAGTTATTTCTACCTAAAACTATTTGACCAGATGCACCGTTTTGAGTTTTTTGTAATAAAGAGCAGGACAATTTAGGAACAGATTTTCTAGAATCAGACCTAATTAAATAATACTTCTGGAGTTAAAAAAATCTATCCTCGGAGCTCTTTCCAAAATCATTAACTTATTCAGTTTCTCCTATGGCAAACCTCTGGAAAAAGAAAGACTGTTCACCACAATCTCTTTCCACAGACCTTACTGGAGTTCTTTTTGGATTCCATATCTTTTATATCATTTCATATTACAATATATCCCTTTACAGAAATTAAGGACACTTTGGTCCCTAAGGACATTTCTCTGATGTGGGTCACATTATGGAAAATCAGTTGATTGATTTCCAAACACTATGCATGGATCTTCTTCCCCCTCTGGATTCTTTCATGGAAAGGGTCCACATTTCACAAAAAGTCTTTCCCATCTGCAAGCTAACTCTGTGCAGAGCCTGCAGTTCAATCCTGATGGGCGCAAGATTGACTCAGACTTCCAAGGTCAGTAAAATGAAGACCCAGATTGTCGGGGCAATATGATGACATTGTAAACCACTCAGAGTGCTATAAAGCACTGTGTGCCACTATATGAGTCCAAGTGCTATTACTATTCCATACATTCATAAGATTTCTTCCCCGTGTGGATCCTTCTATGAGACGTAAAGTGAGTTTTCAATCTGAAATTCTTCCCACATTCTGTGCACTGATACAATTTCTTCCGTATGTGCGTACTAATGTGGTAAGTAAGGGAGCTGCTTGTACTCAAACACTTCCCACATTCATTGCAAACATATGATTTCTCCCTGGTGTGAACCCTTTTATGAGAAGTAAGGGAACGGCTGTAACAGAAATCCTTTCCACATTCCAAACATTTATAGGGTTTCTCTCCTGTGTGGGACCTTTTATGATAAGTCAGCTGGCCACAAACAATAAAAGTCTTTCCACAGTCTGTGCACTTATAAGGTTTTTCCCCTGTATGGATCCTGTTATGGGAAATAAGCTGACTGCTTTGGTTGAAGCTCTTCCCACATTCTATACATTTATAGGGTTTCTCTCCTGTGTGGATCCTTTTATGGGCGTTCAGGTAATTGCTGTTCCTGAAGCTCTTTCCACACTCCATGCATTTATAGGGTTTCTCTCCTGTATGAACCCGTTTATGGGAAGCAAGTGTACTGCTTTGACAGAAGCCCTTCCCACAGTCTATGCATTTAAATGGTTTCTCATTTGTATGAATCCTTTTATGAGAAGTAAGATTACTTTTTATACTGAAACTCTTTCCGCATTCCGTGCATTTATAGGGTTTCTCTCCCGTGTGAATCCTTTTATGAGAGTTCAGATAACTACTGTTCCTAAAGCACTTTCCACACTCCTTGCATGTATAGGGCTTTTCCCCTGTGTGGAGCCTTTTATGGGAAGCCAGCGTACTGCTTTGACAGAAGCTCTTCCCACATTCTATGCATTTAAAGGGTTTCTCTCCTGTGTGGATCCGTTTATGAGAAGTAAGATTACTTTTTATACTGAAACTCTTTCCGCATTCCGTGCATTTATAGGGTTTCTCCCCCGTGTGAATCCTTTTATGAGAGTTCAGATAACTACTGTTCCTAAAGCACTTTCCACACTCCTTGCATGTATAGGGCTTTTCCCCTGTGTGGAGCCTTTTATGGGAAGCCAGCGTACTGCTTTGACAGAAGCTCTTCCCACATTCTATGCATTTAAAGGGTTTCTCTCCTGTGTGGATCCGTTTATGAGAAGTAAGGGAACAATTCATACTGAAGCTCTTTCCACACTCCAGACATTTATATGGTTTCTCTCCTGTGTGGATCCGTTTATGAGAAGTAAGGGAACAATTCATACTGAAGCTCTTTCCACACTCCAGACATTTATATGGTTTCTCTCCTGTATGGATCCTTTTATGGGACGTAAGGTCACCACTTTGCCTGAAGCTCTTTTCACATTCCAGGCATTTAAAGGGTTTTTCTCCAGTATGGATCCTTTTATGAGAAGTAAGGGAACAATTCATACTGAAGCTCTTTCCACACT